GTTCAGATCGCAAGTATTCAAACTGTATAAAGTTCAATTTAAAAAAAATATATGGAAGACTTGCTTAGTTTTTTTGAATGCAAAGCAACTTTTTATCATTCCTGACAATTTCCAAGCATATTTGTTTTTATTTTGAAATATATTCTGGTGAGATTTTATCACTTGTGCGTGTAAGGGAAGCKGATAATGATGTGGACACTGCTGTGGATTCAGGCCAAGGAGGTAGTTTGTGAGACAAGACTGCTCCCTTCTGGACACTTAATCTGCAAGCAGCACAAAGTCACAAGATCTGAACGTAAAAAAAGAGAGAAATTTAAGAATTTTGTCATAATTCAAACTTGCATTTATAGCCCTAAAATGTGACAGTAAAAAAATAAACAAAAAAAGTAAAAATTGATAGAGTGGCCTGAATATAATAATATAATTTCTCATTTTTCCACTCCAAAATGTGTTAAATTCAGTATTATCTTATGAATTTGCACACAATACCCCATGATGGTAAATTTATAAAATATTTGTTTGGTTTTTTTTCTTTTTTGCTATCTTAATAATATTAAAACATATATAACATGACACATCAAGATGATAACTGGGTCTAAAGCACATTATAGATTCAGCAAGAAGWTGTTGACAACAAAAAGAGAAAAAATTAAGTGTATGTTTCATTTTAATTGTAATGACACGTGCTTGCCACTAGATGGGAGTGTTTTCCAGGCAGACTTAGCAAAGAAATGAAGAATTTTTCTCCCTTTAATTACAAACATTTATTCTTGGGTAAATTTTATTTGTATTCAAGTATAGACAATATAACATAAAATAAACCTATAATTAAAAACAACTTGTTGTTTTGCTTCTGTTAATGCACTTTTGGTATTTTCTTTCAGACTCGGACATCATTGTGTTGTTTTATTATTTAATGTAATTACATGCCCAACATATTACAAAAACACAAATTTTAATGCAAAGTATTAATGCATCTTTTTGAAGCAGCTTTTTGAAGGGCCCCTGTTTAGAACCGTACTACGTTTCCCACAATGCATTGCTGCGCAGCCGCTTTTTGTCACTGCCGCTCTTGCCTGTGTGTGTGCGCGTGTGTGCGCCCGCGGTGAATTGGTCCAGCATCCCTGCGCAGACAGAGGAGCAAATCTAAATAGAAAAAAAAAAGGGGTGGACATAATTTATTTGAAAAGATGTAACCGTGGGGAGGAAAAGTTTGGCTTTGCGGTTCGCTCGTTTGCAATGAGGGAAAATGACGGGAAGCGTGAGAGCCTGGATTCTGCGCTGCGCCTCTTTGGAGGACGGACCGATGCGTTGAGAGAAACAATGCGGAATATTTCCCCCTCGTAGGTGTGCACGCAGACAAAAAACAAAAACACAAGATGAAGAAGCAATTCAACCGGATGCGACAGCTCGCCAACCAGACGGTGGGCAGGTAAGAGGAACGCTTTCAGTGCGCAATTCTCACCGGGCCAAGTCAAAATAAAGAGAGACCTCCCCTTTYTGGCCCCGTTATGGGATGGCAATGGTATCCACGCAGATAGGACCTAATTTAACCTCCATGTGTCTATATATTTATACATGTGTTTTAGATGATCACTGGTAATCCAGGGGCATAAAAACAGCCCCCTCCGTGGATAAAACCGCCCTCAATGTTCTGCGTAACATCCAGAGGAAGAAGCTGCAGAGGCAGCGTGCAGGCGCATTGCCCCAGCATCTCCAACCTGCCCACGGAAAGACATTAAATCGCTGCAACACAGACCACCACAGTAACACGARGCCCCCCTGTATGGGGTCTGCATCGTGACAAATATGGTTACCTCCTGTCACCGAACCTGTCAATAACGTGATTCAGACGGATGCGGTGTGGGGRTGCGACGTGCAGGGGAGGGATGGGGAGGAAGGCGCAATGTTTTCATTCCGCAGTAATGTCAGCTGTGAGGAGGGAAAACACCTCTGCCAAGGGGGGGCGGGGGGGGGGTGTTATCAAGTCGTGATCTGATGCGGTTTATCTTCATTTTGTTTCATCTGATGAGCCAGCCCCTCCCCTTTTTTACCTCACCTGGAGACAATTCTGTGAAAAGATGCTGCTTGTCCCTGATATGTGACTCTGAGATGCCCTGCTATCTTCAGGAATGAATGTTTTGTGACCTTTTTACTCAGGTCCACTGGGTTTATCCGCCCCGCCTTCCCCCTCCTTCAGGGAGAGCAGCCTGTCAAACAGCACCAGGCCAGAAGGTGTTTTCTGCTCAGCTGTGGGGGGATTAGGACCAGGAGGCTGGATCATTATTACTACAAGGTTGTGTGGCATGCTCTTAGAAGGAGGGTCACGCCTTGCAGACCGGGGTTTCTGCCATCTTTACCTCTTGGTTCAGTTTCTGGGAGGAGATCTTTATACGTCCAGAGATAATAGGTCATGTTTTTGTTCTGTGGCGCTGTGTTTCATTCAAGCACCTTATTTAATCTGCTGGATTTTTTTACTCCTTAAAGAAAAAGTCTTCTCCAGCAGGGTTGCAGTTTGAAGCGTGCCACACAACCTTGCCGAATTATAGGCAAGATTTRAGGTGGCGCCCTAGATCTCACTGCCAATTTACATACATTCACACCAAATTCAATAGGTTCGACTTCAATAATATGTTTTATCTTTAGAAACTAGGTTGTCCAATTAACAATAAAATTCACTTGACACAGAATACCAGGAGTCTACCTGCCAACATTCAGCAAGGTTATAATAAGCAGCAACTTTCMTTGTTTAGTCATTTATGCACTCAAAGTACTTTCAAATCAATTCTTTTATTTATCATGAAAAATCAGATTTGAAATTTGAATCATGTAGACAGAAACRCAGATCTTCTTCTCCTCAGCAACGCTCTCCAATGCCTCCCGGGGGGATCTGAAGGTGTTCCCAAACCAGAGAGGATACAAACACTAGGGATGCACCGATACCAGATTTTTGAAAACRGAGTACGAGTACAAGTACTTACATTAAAGTACTTGCCGATACCAAGTACCGATACAAGTACTAATAAATATCCTTAAAAATCCTTATAATTAACTTAAACTGTTTATTTTCATRAGGCACTTCAAACATAAATAAACAAAGTACATTACTATTGGTTTAAAACCATTTTACTGTCATATAACCATACTATGACAGCATGTACAAAAAATAAATAAATAAACCTAARACACCTAAAAGAGACTTCCAGTTGATTTATTTTTTATTCCATCTTCATCGTAGATGTAAAAATTTTAATGATCGGCTCAAGTTATCTAAAATGTGTTACAGGGCCCTCACTGAATATTAGAGCATTGTACCATCAACTARATAAATAAACTAAACTAAATAAACTTTGTAGTATGTTAAATTAATTGCAAATAAGTAATAAATGTTTAATTTGTAACATGTTGTAGCTTGGTCATAATGATTTTTCCTCCATCAGATTACTTGGCAAATAAACGCTTATAAAAATAAAAAATATTTTTAGGCAAATCAAGGCTTATATTATTATTTTTAATCATTTTTATTTATTTAATTTACCTTGGATCCAGTACAGTTTAGATGCAGTAAATGGGTTTTTTTCTCAGCATCAGTGAAGCGCCTCTCGACAGCTGCAGTCAAAGTGGACTTCATTGTTTTGATCCTGTGATCTTCACCAGTGTCTTTGTTTAGGAGTCTCAGGTCACAGCAGGGATGACGTCTTACTACTGTCACCTGAAAATACCTCCACACCGCTGACAAAACGCCTCCTCTACAAACTGCTTGCTTGTTAAAGTTTGTTCAGCTCGGCTAACGTGGTCGTCGTCTTCTTCTGTTTTTTTATGCGGCTGGCATTAAGTCTGTTGCGCGATTCCGCCGCCTGCTGGTTTAGAGCGTCTATGCACAAACTGAGCGAAATGAAGCAGGTATCGGTCCTGTAGTATCGGAGCACTTTTACAAGTACGAGTACGAGTTAACGCATATGGTATCGGACCGATACCTGATACTGGTATCGGTATCGGTGCATCCCTAACAAATACCCTCCATCAAGTTCTGGAGCTCCTTCCAGTGGGATGTGTCTGGAAAACCTCGCACGTGTTAGACATCCCTTACCCACCTCAGCTGACTCATTTCTGTTCAGAGGAGCCGTGACTCCTTTGAATTCGAAGGAGGCCCATTTTTTTAAGTCATGATCCAAACCTCCAAACTTCAAACCTGATCGGAGAAGACTTTTTCTTTAAGGAGTAAAATACAGGAGATAAAATAAGGTTGAAATTCCAATGCTACTTTGGGAAAACATTTGAATACCTCTTCCTTTACCATGAAAAGGAAAAAATTGTTGCAATATCTTCTAACTGAGTGAATGCATATATTACAAAGTGGCAGTGTGTGTGGCTCTATGTGTGTTTTTTTTTTTTTCACCCACATTCAGTAGGCTGTAAGTGTGGAATCCGTAGGTGGACAAGAGTGTGTATGTGCAGATTAATGAGGCATCCTAATGTCAAATTTCACACCACAAATATTCACATCATGCTGTAATTCTGCTTGTCTTTTACCTCATTTTCTACAATATGTACGCTTGTATGCTTCATTTCTTTTGTCATCATTTTACCACCCGATCGTCCCACTTGAGCATAGCAAGGCTTCTATAGGAAGATAAGACAAAGTTAATGAATTCAACTATAACAGAGACTTTTGGTTCAATTGTTCTGCTGACTCAAGCTTCATCTTCAAACCAGCAGAGCTACTCTGCTGGTTTGACCTTTTGACCTTCCTGAACTTCTGCAGTCTCTCTGGACATTTTAACATCACTGCACCATTCTAAGGCTTTTCAACCCAACTCAGAGGGAATTACATTTCTAAATCGCAAGAATGTCAGACCCTGTTAGACCATTAATAACACTCGGTTAGTTTATGACTGTCTAGGATGCATCAGTTACCAAAGCACATGCACAATAAATAGGTTGCCTTCAGGCCCAGGCCTCCCTTCTTAAACAGATCTGTGATCTCAATGGGATTTGTCTGCTTAAATTAAACTTAATAACAAACAAATGTATTAACATTTCTGTTGCAGTTTGTCTCTCTACACTAATAGTTTTATTTTATATGTGAAACAGTAAAGGTCTTCTTTCAGTGAGCAGGGCTGATGCTCAGGTGTGCTGTGTCAGCAGCACMCTGACGCTTCAAACCTGCTGCTGCCGCTGCCTCTGGGTGAAATCTGTGTTATGTGATCACCATCTTGCCCAGTTAGCTTTCTAGTGAAGGGCGTGCTGCCACACATTCTGTATGGCTGAGGCAACAACGTTAAAATGCTTATAGATGGGACAAAAGAAGATCACAGGTCTGATGAATCCAGTGGCGGATCTAGGATTTTTCTGAGTAAGGGGCCATAGGGGGCCAAAATATTTATAGAGGGGCCAAATATTTGTTCAGCGTCCTTGCACACAAATCCCTGGTTTTCGGTAAAGTGTATATATTTAACCAGTCACGTGTTTAAACACTTGTAATGTGATTTAAAAAAAAGCTTGCAAAGTAAATTCTTCTTACCAAATTTACATGCATTTTTACAGTACATAGATAAAATACTCTCAGACACACAGCATGTGAGAGAATCCAGTCATCGTTTGTGAGTGGAAAGACTTTTTCTGCAGGCTTGTTTAAATTTTACAAACAGAAAAAAAAACTTCTGTCAGCTTGATTCATGCTGGACTTTTCTATTGGTCTCATTAGCACTTCTAGTGTTTGGACATGGAACTGCAGRCAGCATCATCCTCTTGGGCAAAGGACAGATGAGTGACAGGGCAGGGGCGCTTCAGGGGGCCAATCAAATATCAGCAGGGGCCAATGCCCCTGTGGCCCCGCCCATAGAACCGCCCCTTGATAAATCAGATAAAAATGATAGTGTTTATTTCTTTTCCTTTTTTATAGCACAATCTTTCCTGATCCAACCCATGAGGCCTGAATGTTTTTGTGTTAGTTTCACTCAGGTATTTGCTTGGYTTTAATGTAACACAAAAATATCATTTCTATGCCCTTAAACTAAAGAAAAAACTAATGATTTTTTTTAAATTACAGTGATTAGAAAAGCTCTAAGACACTATCTTTTGACCTATTTTCTATTCCCACGTCACAGCCCTATATAGGTCTATGACAGCCTGACAGTAGAAGTCTGAGGTGGCCTGCAGGAAAAATATGTTTCAACATGAAAGAACAGAGAACCTGATGGATCAAACAGCACAGTTAAATTTGACTAAACTGATCAAATATCCATCCATCCATCCATCCATCCATCCATCCATCCATCCATCCATCCATCCATCCATCCATCCATCCATCCATCCATAACATCACATT